TTTTTTTTTAATATTATAGTGCTCTACGTCCGGCTCCTATAAAGGGCACTACACAGGGCACTTAGCACTTGGGAGAAGGAAGGGAAGAGGGATGGGAGGCCCCCCATTACTGGGAGGGGGGTAGGGGGAAATTAGGCAATTATGCTGCGAGAAGGTCGCCTAAACCCTCCTCGAGGAGCATTGCGTGGTGAAAAAGCACATATGAAAAATCACAGAGGTACTTGCCCGAAAAAGTCGCACTGGCCGGGAATCGAACCCGCAGTCTCCCGCGTGCGAATCCACGACCTAGCCGACTGAGCCACCGAGCGCTCTTATGTATATAGATAATGTTCTGTGTGGAAAATGTGAAAGATATCGTCATCTGGCGGTAGAATAACCCTCATCCTTATAATGAGGTCATCATAGGGTATAAATATTTATTCCGATGTTGACTAAATTTCATTAATGTCCATCATTTACTTCGTTTTTAGTTTTAAAAATTAAAAAAGTTTGAGCAATATAAGAAACCAATAGTATATTACTTACCTAGAAAGGAAAAATAAAGAATGTCTCAGATTGCAGGCAATTGACGGATAATCATGCGATCTACGGGATTCTTTGTTTCCTCCCGTGGGTTGTATACGATTTTTCATCAATCCTGCGCTGAGAGGAGGGATTTTCCTACTTTCGGCGCAGTATGATGAAAAATTTATAACAAGATCTCATTGGACTGATTTTTCCCAATTAATCATTCAATAAGTAAGTACGCTCGTTCTTCCACACTTCTTACCTGATGAAGTGAATCATGCTAATAGCAATAATGAACTCTGGTGGAATTGAAGTATTTTCGATAAACTGATTTAGCGTGAATGAAGAAAGTAGCGCCGGTGTTTTAATTCTAGCCTGAACGTTTGTTACTTTCATAAAAGAAAGTTCAGCGAGCATAATAATACTCAACAGGTTCACAACTGATGCATGCACTCGAAATACTGCTCATAAAACTTGTATTTGGGGGTCTCCCAAGCCGTTGGCTAATATGTGTTACAAACGTGTTTGTTCTGTCAGCAGGACTGCGACAACAATGCCGAGAAGAGTGATAAAGCACAGTGCAAGTCCGCAACGAAGAAATCAAAGACACAAGTTAATTCTGTCGTGCCATCATCACTAGATTATAAGGACAATTACGAAGGTGACTGCGACGACGACGATTACGACAAAGACAACAAACAAGATAACCCAAACAGATGGAAGACCAATACGGCGCGCTCGAATAGCAAAGCACAGCTATCCTTGCGATTCGGGCTCGAGGCGTGTGCTTCTAAGCTGCCGCGCCAAAAGCTAACTCCACCAAAGAAAGAAAAGGCTGCTCAAAAACGACGAAATGCCGAGAAGAGCCAGTCAAAATGTACGTGTGTCTAAGTTTTTTTTTTTTTTTNTTTTTAATAATTTTTAAGAAAAAAAAAAACATTTACTCAAAACTATATTTTATTTTTAGGACTTTGCTAATTCTATGCATGGAACTGGGTAAGCATACAAATTGTATTACAAATGGTTAACGAACATAGGAAAAGTAGTATACTAAGTTACTTGCATTAAAGCCTATTGTATTGTTCTCATACATATAATTTATACATACTGTTTCATTGACACATGCGCGCCCCCGCAAAAAGTGCATTTAAAATTATTTAGTCAACAACTGTACATTAGTGCACTGTCTATCTGATCTATTTTTAGGGATTTGACATCAGAAGAAAACGTTAAAAACTCTCCTGCATATATTAAATTTGAACCAAATATTTTGGATTTTAAAGAAAGGTAATTATTAAAAACCAGCACAACGTTTATTATACTTGTGAAGTTATTTGAGATGTTCTAAGAAACACAATTTCTTTAGACAACTTGGTGTACCTCATCAAGAAACTGTAACGCTGTTTAACAGAGATAATAATCGAACGATTTACCTCTCTTCCATTTCGGGAAACACTCAACATTTTCATTCATCTTTTTTTCAAGATAAAGTGAGTTTTTATTTTGATTACCAATAATTAGAAAATATGCACAAAAACCTGCAAATCGTTTAATACAATATTCATTATGTAATGTCGTACTGTTTTTTGATTCAACAGGTAATCCCTCCTTTAGGAAATACAACATTTAATGTTGTTTTTTTAGGCCGTTCAGAGGGTGAAATTGACAGTTATCTCTTTATTCATACGACAGAAGGCATTTTAAAATACCAAGTATTTTAGCTTATTCATGTTAAATAATATAAATAATTAACAAAAAAATAATGTTGCGATGATTTTTTATTATTCCAGGTTAAGGGAGTAAGCATCAGTAGTCCATATAGATTGCGGCCAGTCATAGGTGTGAAATTACCCATAAATGCATCCTTTGCGCCTTTAGTATATATGCATAATCCTCATTCTGAATTGATGCAGGTAATAATTTTTCATTGTTGATTTTTTTTTAGCTACTTTACAATATTCTCACAGCATTTTTATTCACACAGATTGTAGAAGTTTACAGTAGTGGAAGAGAATTTCAACTAGAATTGCCTTCTGGAGAAGTAGAAGGACCTCGCGAATTATGGGAGATTCCTCCTTTCCAAACAAAACCTGTAATAAGATTACATTTTACTGCACATGCTGAAAAAAATCATACTGCATACATAAGGTAAATATTGTCAAAAATCAATCTGAGGATCGTGGTTATACTATAGATATCTAAGGTGTGTGGTGACTATTTTTAGGTTCAGAGTTAATAACACTGCAGAAATTTTGATTGTAACTGTAGAAATAGAAGTGAGCAGTGGAGCTGGTCTTCATTGGGGTGGAAGTTCAGGAGTTGTGAACTTTGGTATGGGAGGCTCTTATCAGTCTCCCATTCGATACCAGATAGCTTTGAAAAATTCTGCAAAAAAACCTGTCAAAGTTCAAGTAAGATTGTATAAAGATATAAATATAAATATTGATGACATTGTATTTTATTTTTTGCGTGAATTTTATTGTATTTAGTATTATGTTTCATAGAATATCATTAGTGTACCAACGTCTAAAGCACTTAAGGTCAATTTTGAACCCACTATCATACCAGGGGATACGGAAATCCCTGTAGCAATTGGAACGTTAATTTATGATTGTAAGTATGCTAGTATCTGTTAAGCAACGTAAGGAATGGAATATAGTTGAGTTTCAAGTTTTTAAAAAAATTTTCAAGGGAAAGCTGGACTAGATTTGAAACACTTTAAAGGGAAAATAATGATCAAGGGCATTGGACCTGGTGGCTCTAGTCAAAAACTGGCAATACCATGGATGGCTGAAGTATTGCAAGGTGGCCTCGAAGTAAATGCTTCTGCAGCTCATTATTGCTCACCACACTCCAGCCAGCCTCGAAATTTTAGCGTTATTAACAAATTCAAACAGCCCCTTGCCATTACAAACATTTCGCTACCCTCAAAGGCTGCACTCCTTTTTAGAGTATGTCTCGTTTAACCAATGGTAATTAATTGCTCAATTTCACATTGAGTCAATTAGAATTTTAATTTCTGGTATCTGTTTTTTATAGATAAGTAACTTTGTCCCAAAGATATTGAAACCTGGTCAACGGGATGACATATTCACGCTATCTCTGATGCATGATAAAAAAAATGACAATTTGCAGTTTGAGTCGTCGATATTGATATACTCGAATGTGTCAACAACGAAAGTTCCGTTGCTCAGTTACAATGGAAAGCTGCGAAAAATAATCCCAGATGAACGAGAACGCGATAAAGGCTCAATCAATTTCGGCACCGTGAGTAGCGGTACCGAGAACGAGGGCATCTTTGCTCTAGAGAATCAAAATCCTGTAAACATAGAACTGCACGGCTGGGGTGTGAATATGCCCGGGGCCGTCTTAGAGCTAGTGGGTTGTCAGAGTGGTCCCACCGATTTATTTAATAGAGGAATAAGAAATATAACTGCCTGTAGCACTACGGGAAATGTAAGTTCTTGACATTTTCTAAAACAATTTTCATTCTTTTATTTGCGTATCAGGATTCCCAAGTTACTCCTCCAATTATATTTATAGCAAAACTTAAAACCAAGTTACTTAGCAATCTTTAAGATTAAAGTTAAAACACCACACATAGAGGAGGATACTATTGTTGGTGATGTTTTTGTAAAGACATTTTACGAAAGGTTAACGGTTCCAGTTTACATGCGAGTGGCTCATGGAAAAATAACTATGAAAAGACTTAAATTCACAAATTGTTTTCCCGTAAGTAATAAGTTGTAATTTAAAATTACGTTTTTTTATCCTTGTTACGTTTGTATTACTTTAATAAAAGTGTAATTTACATACACATGAATAGTTGTAAGTATTTATTAAAAATCAATTATTTAATATGGTGTGGGTGGGTGTGTGTGTGTGTGTGTGTGTGTGTGTGTGTGTGTGTGTGTGTGTTAGAATACTTTGGCTCAGATTCAGTCTCCATTGTTTTGTTTTTGTTTCTGTTTGTTATTTCTGTTGGACTACCTACTCCATTACATTTTTTAAGGGTTCCTCGTGTGTGCAACAAATTAAGGTTCATTCAACGTTCATCAGACCAATGGAAGTAACTTTTATTAAGCCAGTGCATGAAGACGAAAGAGTAAAGTACACTCCTTTAGAAGAGACTTCCTATCCTGTTATTTCCAAAGGCGATAATCATGTTGGCTTTATCGTGATAGATCCATTGGTCACTTGCAAGCCGAATTGTTATCTTGGTTTATCTCTAAATAATAGTGGTAAATTACATGTGTACTTCAAAATATAAAAATTTAAAAACTAAATGTCAATTAAATTTTTTTCTTTACCTTCTAGATGGAAATCAATGGTTAAACACTTTGAGTTTACCTCTGCATACGCGTGATTCTGATTTAAATTTATTGAATACTCTGTATACTCGCTATTTAAATACAATTGGCGACTCGTGGGACAATATAACAATGCAATTAGATACCAGTGAAGTTCGGGGGTACAAATTTACCGTGAGTATAAAACCACACTGGCCCAGTGTCCTGGTGAGCAGTCAAGGTACAAAATATAAAAGCTTGTCCTTTCCACTGACTCAAGTTGGTAACACATCGTACAAAAATATAACATTGCATAATCCATCATTGAATCCATTATTGATCCATTTGGTAATGGATTGGAACTATCCTCAAGGATCAAGGTTATTCCAGTCTTTACCAAATGAGTAAGATGACTGGTTGTGAATTACTTCCCCATTAGGTTTTGAGTGTTCCATAAAAATTACGTATTTTTGTAGATTTAAACCTTCATACACTAAATGCGCAAATACAATACAAGGAGAGTTCAAATTAGAAGATTATGGGAATAATAAACATTTGTTTGAACGTGAATGGAGTATTGCATCTGCACAGAACTCTATTCCTTTGGTTCTTAAACCCAATCAAACGAAAACTATAGGTCTTTCCTATGCCCCTAAACTCGCTGCATCATCTTCCGCACTTTTATATATAAGGTGACGTTAAAAGAAAGATACTTCTACCTGAACGTCAAGTACCTTGAAGTATAAATTAATTTAAATATTTTTATATTTTTTTAGAAACAATATGACTATTTTAGAAGTGTTAGGCATTGTAGGACGTGGAGCTCACGCACAGTTCAAATTCGGTAATCGCAAACCTGGATCTTCAAAACCCTTATTGTTTGAATTTACTGAGAGGCATCTTCAGGGTTGTCAAAGTAAGTCATCAGCATGTGCTATTTGTATATATATGGGTCATTTCACAAAAAATGCTGTATTCCATGACGCCCATGTTTAAAAACGACGGATCGAATTATTTCGAGTCGGAACTTTTTTTAAACGGTGAAAACCAATTTTCTCTAAATGCATTTTTGAGATCATGTCGAAAAATGTTTTTGCGTGACCATAAGGTTGGAAAAACAGGCCAAAATGTCAATACCGTAACGTAAAGCATTTAAAAATTTCATTTTTTTCGGCTTCTGGCGCCTAAATATTAATTTTTTAAAGAAGTATTATCTAAAAGTTTGAGGTGTTGTGCACCTTATATGATAGTTGAGAACCAAAAAAAAATTTTATTTTCAACAAGTCTGTCATTACGGTAAAGCTCTAAATAAAAAATAAATGCATTTAAATTAACAAAGGTTAATAATAAATGATCGTAGAGTCGGGCCCAAACGTTTCCAACTAGTTAAGACTTGATATAACCTGGAAAACATAATAAAAAAATTCTTATCATTCAATTTAAAAAATCTCAATTAAAGCGTAAAAATATCGCAGTTTTCGTGAAATATATACATATAATACATACATAATTATCATTCGTAGAACACTTTGAGTATAACAATACAATTTTTTTCACAGTACAATTGCAGATACAATAAATCACGTAGTCATATTATAAACAATCGTACGCTTTCTACGTGCTTTATATAGCATCATCGTTTTTCTTAAAAATATAATTATATCATTAGTTTTTATACGCGATAGGGGTATGAACTTAGCTTGAATAAGAATTATTAAATCTGACGGGATTTTTATGAAAACATCTTCTATACAGTTATTTTAGTGTTATCTGATGCTTTATTTTTGACAACATTCTGTTCATTGTGTTCCTATAAAAATGTTTCAGCAAAGCAAGAAGATTTCATAACAAAAGACAGAACCTTGTCTAAAGGTGACGAAATCAAAAGTGAAGTGTTTGGACGAGAGTTGAATTTAACGTTGAGACGCTCGTTCATGGCCCGTAATGTTGGTGAACTACCGATCGACGTGCACAGGTTCTATATCAATGGATTGACTTGCCAAGGCTATGGATTCAAGGTACTTAACTGCGAGCCTTTTAGGCTCCAGCCGAATGACAGCCGCCAAATCGATATTGCCTTCACGCCCGATTTCACGCTTTTCCGCGTTGAGCGCGACCTACTGATAGAAACGAGCATGGGATGGGAGCCGCGGAAATACGGTATAAAAGACGAGAAGGAAGAAGGAAAGGAGGAGGAGAAAGACGACGAGGACGGCGTCGAGCTCGGCCATGAAGTCGATGGTATGGTCAGGCTGAGCCTACTGACCACTTTGCCTGCCAACAAATTAGAGGCGTGTTCAAGGATTTTGGCTCGGCCTAGTTGGGAGCAAGTGATCCAATGCATTGCTATTGTTCTTGCAGGGCTTCTCTTTATTGGAATTTTGGGTGAGACTATATATATATACACATAAAAACACACGTATGGAATTGGTTTTGTAGGCTTTTTTTTTCTTTTCTTTATTTGTTTGTACGTACCCATGGTATGCAAAAACCAACGCAAAGAAAATAACTCTATTAAAGTTATACTTTTGTAACATTAAAAATATATTACCAAATCATAAAGGTTAAAAAGGTAAAAAGCTTTATTAGACAGATGAAAATGACAAAGTAACATCAAAGTACCGTGTATTATACATATGAATTATTTAGTTACTGCCATCCTCGAGGCCGATCGCATACTGAATGTCTTGCTGTTGACTATGTCGCGGGGCAATCCTACGCAGCCACCACTAGACTTACGGTTGCTTTCACATTCCTCGCCCATGCAACAGCAGCACGGCATCAACGCCAACAGCCATCATCAGCAATATCACCAGCATGTCAAAGAGAAGCTGGTACCCGCCACGGATGATAGTAGCAATAGCAGAGCAAGTAGCAAGATCAGTGGGAAGAAAGATGATACGTCGACGTCGTCAGCCGCTTCGTTGCTAGTCTGGAGCTTCGTAAATAGCAAGCGGGGTAAGGACAGGGCCAGCTACAAACAATACCAGCTGCTGACCGACTGGTCAGCCGAGGAAGAACGTAGATTCCGACTGGACAGCGATGCTCGGGATGGAATGAAGCGCTGTGTCGACTCAGCGTCGCTCAGTTTCGAGCAACCGGCATCGGTTAGCAGTGCTACTGGTAACTCGAAGAAACGCGGTGACAGTAAGCAGCAGCAACGACAAAGTTCATTGAAGATATCACTAGTGGATGGTGTCGCAGACGTGGCTGTTGTCGAGCTGCAAATCGCACCATCTGAGAAAAAGATTTCCAACAAGTCCAGTCCCATCATCAACAGAAAGCAGGGCAAAACTTGCAAGGAAGAAACTACCAAGCACATCAATCACGAGATACAGCAGCTTGAGACCGGCAGCAACATTGTCTCAAGTAGTTTCAAGCACCGCAAACAGCCTGCCTCTAATGGTAGCAATAATGCGAATAATAATGCTTTTAAAAAATACGAGGCTAATGCTTGTCAGAAAGTTAATCAATACTCTGAGGAGGAGACCTCGTCCACCACGACTGAGAGCTCCATTCAAGAGGACAATAATGTATACAAGGTCTTTATCGTTTTATTAAAGATTTACCCTTTATTGATCGAACTTAAGAAGATTTCAGTCAGTTTTCTTCTCACCGTTTTTGGTTTTAGTGTTTATTTTCAAAAGTAAAAACTATTCAGACCCGTTGATTGCATTGTATATATATATATATATACATATATATATC